GAATTTACTAATATTATCATAGTCAGAGATCGGATTCTCGGGCGTAACGCGAGAGTCAAATTCTTTTAATAAATTTTCCTCGACAGAAGGATTTGTCATTATTCTATACATCATCCACGACATTGCCTATAAATCAGGTAAATATTTTCAATATATTCATAAAAAATACTAAACAAAAATTGCTTACGATTGCGGTAGTATCTCTTCCTAAAAATTAATTGAAATTGCTAAGGTAAATTTTTCTTCGTACGTTTTATAAAGAAAAACTTATTCGCTCACCAGCTGCAACCACATTAAGAATAATATCACGTAATTCTTTATTATTCAAGCTTTCTTCGTTAGCGTTTGTAGCATCCATAAACAATTGCAAGACATCAGTAGGACTTTCTGTCTTTAGAGGCTCCTGTAGTCTTTCTCGAATCATACTGTACGCGCAATCATCAAGTATTTTACGATACTTGCGATTGTTTCGTCCGGTCTCAGAGAACATCTCTAGAATTGGCCATAACTGATTAAGTGCACGCTCCATAATTACTGATTGGAAATGATCGAGTGCGACGGCGAAGGATGCCACGTTCTCGGGATTAGTCAGAGTGTTAAAATTTTTATTGAAGCAGATCCTAATTGAATACGATAAATTGAGTTCGCAATTTAACTAATTTTCCATGATTGTCATTGCTCACTTTATGAAGACGTCAAAAGTGAAGCGAAAGAATAGACTTTGAAGATCGATAGTTTCCCCCGTCTCAGCTGCTTTTGATAAAATTGCGAGCACAATTTTTGTGTGTTCTTCAAACCCACGACAAATTATTTTACGAAAATTTTTTCCTTGAAAAACTGGAATTAGAAGTTTTCGTTGAATTTTCCATGATTCCCTATTATTAATGCGAAATGCGCGTTTAATGTTTAACGTTAAGTATTCTAACAAAAGAAAACCATTGAATTACCTACCCATCAACATTGAAAATTCCATCGCCAAATAATTCCCTAATCATACGCTTGCTATAAGATCCCTTTAAATAGTTCTGAAAATTGTCTTTCAGAACATGCTCTACCTGTTTCGGCGTACTGATAACAACAACTCGCATACCAGGTAAAGTATAAGTGCTAATAACAAAAATAGATCAAGAAATTACTATGGTTTTAATAAAATATATTAACGCAAATACTAACCATATTTCACCGTATTTTTGACTCAGTTCAAATAAGTGGTCATTGAATCTTTCCGCATTATTTGAAGTCGAAATTAGGTTGCCGATGATTGGAAGTCCTTTTGGTCCTTTAAGATCGAGTCTTGCACTTGTTCCAATTGCTCTATTCGGGTACTTGATTACCAAATACGCAACGAAAAAGAGGAAACAGAGGAAAATTAAATCTAGCATATTTGTATGTTTTTATCTGTAAACGTATTTATTTCGAGACAAAACAATATACTATAATTTATAGGAGCACTCTATATATGAGATTCCGTATCGATTCTTAAATTCCAAGAATTGAGAATCGATTAAAATTTGGAAATCAAGAACTGAGAATCGATTTAGAGACAAAAATCGATTAATAACGATAACAACGATTGGGACGTTCAACAAAATGTTAATAAACTATTGCCAATATAGTTTATTAATTCTTATCGTTATACGTAGTGATACTAACGCTAATGC